ATCCATATGCAGACATTTGCGTTCCCACTCCAGTTGTTCCTGCTTCACATCGTCGATCGTTCGGCGTTTCACCCGATCCAGGATTTCATCCAACTGCAAGAAATTGGCGTCGTCGACCGCAAATTTGCGGTGTTTTTTGCCATTGATGTGCTATATTCCACCAGTCATGAATGAAACATAACGCGAGACGAAATCAAAACAGACTTACCACGGTAAAATCCTCGAACTTCTGGCGGCAGCATTCACAATAGCCAGGTTTGCTGCCTTCATCTCTCTTGGGAAGTCTCATGGTATTGGTACTACGACTCTTCTTGAGCATGGGCCGCTTTCCCGGAACGTTCGAAGGGGGTCCCATATCACCATTTTTGAGCTGGATGGAGGGGAATCGGCGCGAAGTGATGACTTCTGGCCGGCCGCGTAAAGATGCTGGTAGAGCAGAAGATCGGAGGGAGAAACCAGTCGTAGATGTGGTGCCCGTCGTTGAGGTGATGCCTACGCTATTGCCAGACGCCGCCACATAGCCCCGAGCAGCATATCCCGATGCATTGGTAGAGTCGGCGACATCACCATCGAGATCGACATATTGGTCGTCGAGCAGGTTGGCGCGGCGATGCATGTTGTTCATTGAAACGGACCGCCTGAGATCGCCAGTTTGATTGAAGGTTTGCAGACGCGCCTCAGCTTTCCGCTTCATCACTTCCACGCGTAACACCTTGTCCTGCCGCTGGTCGCGGTCATTCGCCTGCTCTGCCTCCAAACGCTGTGCCTTCTCCCAACGCTTCTTCTCTTTTTCGTCGAACTGCAAGAACGGGCCACGCGAGTGAGGATGGCAGTGAAGAACCGGCCACGGAGTTTTTGCAATGGCTGCATCGCGGCCCTTGGGAATGATGTATTCCTGCACGGCGACTGTCGCCAATTCCCCTCGAATATCCTCTACCAGCATAAAGTAGGTTCCGCGATTGAAGTACTTGAAGTCGTGCCTTTTCTGAGTTGGATCCCGTTCGCTGGTGCCATTGAGTCTCTCCGACTGCAGTAAGCGAGAAAGGGTGCGCTCGCGCTGAGCAACAGACGATGCGGAAGACGGGGTAGGATCGAGGCAGCGGTCGACAACACTCTGAAGTTTTGCCATACTCCATACTTTGGTGTTGTCGAAGCTCTTTGCTTTTGACACAAGATCATAGGCTGGAGCTGGGGCAAGGTCTTCGGCGCCTCTGTTGGGGTTATGGCATTGTGAACGGAATTAGGGGAAGAACGAGACTTACAATCTGAGCTTGCTAGGACTCTTGCTGAACTTGTTCCGGGGTGCATCGTTTTCTTTGTTGGCGAGGGGAGCGGCGGAGTTGTCTGCGGGTGCAGGCTGGTCTGTGATGAGATGTGTGACGCTATTTGAAAAGAAATTTTCGATGGTCTGGGAGTGGCATGAGCGGCAAGAAACGAAAGTCATGAAGAGGACGCACGCCGTTGAGCTGTCGTATCTTCACTTGAGAAGACTTGATTGAAGCTACGTTTTCGGCAACGATGTTGTCGACATCGAAGTAGAACTTCCAGCTTGGAAAGGCTTTGCGATACTTGTCGCGGAACTCGACTCTCTGCTGTTCGCGCTCAGTATGGCGTCGGACCTTGTCTTTCTCTCCTTCCTTTTCACGATGGGCAGTAGGGGCGGCTGCGGGGACCGCCTTGAGGCGTTTTGGAACGACCTCAAGGATGTGGTCGGGGGAGCGAGGGCGCTTTGAGCCAGAAACAGACCTAGACTGTTTGATGGGAGGGTGTGTGCGGCGCACGGTGGTAGCCATGGGCGAAGGCAAGATAAATCGTAGACCGTGTGGTGTTCAAAGGGGAGGCAAGAAAGGCGGCGGCTAAGGCCAACCTAAGGCGGCCAAACAACAGGTCACACCTCACATGACCGTGTCCCAGTTGTGACGTACTTAAGCGTACTTACTCAAGTTCGCGACGTGTTCATCACAAATGGAGACTGGTTTCGACTAAGGAATAGGGCAAACCGAAAGGAAAGCCAATACATGAAGTATATTTTATAAAGTTCCACCATTTTCAAAAAATTCGATTTTCTCAGCGGTGTAACGAAATGGATGCATTCAGATGCATTCAAATTGACAAAGACACGAAGGTAAGTGTAATGTGTGACCATGTTATACCGAGTTGAGATTAACTTCCAGGGTATTCTAGGGCCCAAATGCATCTGGACAAAAAATTGGCAGATCAAGCAACCAGGGCATCCAAAGGGATCACCACAGGCACTCATACGTAGTCGTGAAGTGGACAGAAGACACAGGCTGTGCGTCATTTAATCCTGCAACTGGTCGTAGTCGTTCCGCAGAGGGTTGAAGAGTCGATAAGATAACCAGCGGATGAGGCGACAAGCGGCCGATTTCAGATGACGAGCGGGGAGTTAAAACAAAGAGCAGCGAGTGTGGGACGATGAGCAAGGAACTTGAGAGAAGCGAATGAGGACGACGAGGTCCGATGTGGGACAAAGAACAGCGGATACGAGACGAGAGCGACCTATTTCTGATGCTGAGACGACGACGCGGCCAATGCATGGCAGATGTGAGACGATGAGCGGCGAATTTTGCACGACAAACATCCATTGAGGAATGGAAAACAACGAGCCTTGAATAAGCGCCTGCTACTGGATGTCGCTGCATGCGGGAAGCTAGAAAGAATGAAGCCGAAATATTCAAAAGGTCATACCCGCATAACGGGTGCAATATTTTCCCTGTAGCCTCGACCACCCACACGATTCGCCAACTCATCGGGGCGTCTCCGGCAAAGACAGGTTGTTTGCTTATTCCGGGGGCACGGTGACACTCGAAGACAAAATTTAGGCGACGAACAATCGTGGTTGAATCGTCTAATCAGCTAGAGAAAAGTAATCAACTAGGAGTTAGGTCGCAGCAGAAAAGAGGAGAACGAGAGATACGCACGAGGAACACACTCTCGAACAAGAATCCCGATGAAAATATACCAGAAAAACTTCTTACGCTTAGACTGAGACATGATGCTCTCGCGGCCGCGCCGCAGTGCGACGCTTCAATGACTTGCGAGTCGTGAAGTGACCATTCCAAACCCTACAAGGAGTGTAGCATAGATAGAGCAGCGCAGATATTGAAGGAAAAGCCGGGAACCTATACATTGAGCGTCAACAGCTTGAATCCAAGTGTCAAATGATAAAAATACACGGAGATACTACCAGGCAAAGTCTAGTCCATTCTCAGCGTCGAGAGGCTTGCTTATACGGATCTGAGATAGGGCCAAGAAGGTCGAAGGCTGCTTGGTCGTCGTTCGGGATGGCGATCAGATGATACGTAAGAAACCAAGAGTGTTGCTGTCAAAAAACACTTGCGAATCTTTTCCTCTCAACACCACCATGTCGGTGATATCCCGTCACCCAGCCTACAGTTTCTTCGTTTTTGTCGTTCTGGGCTTGACTTTCTACCTTCTGGGACCTTACCAGCCTTCTGCAGTCCCGTATACAACGGGACGAGCCTGGCCCGCTCACGATCTTCCCGGTCGTCTCGAGCGGTCAGAACACATATACCAAAAGCTGCTTAAAGACCGTCAAGGTTGGTTTGAATGCAAACTGTGAATACCATCTCATTCCGTCAAAGGTTTGATAAAAAAATGGGGCCCAACCGTGAAAGATATTCAGCTGTAAGCAATACAGCAAACTGGGTCTGAGCGTCGGCGTCATCTCTTTCTAGATTCCCGCCAAACGTCAGCCCATGGCCCGCATATACCGTCTGTAAGTGGCCACCCAAAGTCGTAGCGATGTAGTTGAATGTTTCACAGGGGACTTTTTCCCCGCGGCTTACAATTGCCCACATGAAATCCAAAGGTACCTCTTTCACTTTTAGTGCTGCTTTGACTCATCATTGTAAGGCTGGGAGCGCTTGGGGACGGAGGCAAGTGGGTATGTGGACTGTCGCGGGTGGAACATAAACCGGATTGTATCGTCTATTCTTTTGGTGCGCTTGGAATTGAAATTCTTGAATTTGATGGTGACGGTTGGCTAGGAATCAACTACGAGTCGTCTTTTGAGGCCGAAATTCTTGCTAACACACAAGAATGTCAGATTTGGGGATATGACTTCTCGGTCAAGTCTTTCGGACCACAAATATCGTCGACTCAAGCGAGTCGGACACATTTCAAGCCGTATGGCCTTGCGGGTAAAGACAGTCATGGGCCTGAGGATGAGCACAAGATGTACACCCTTGAAAGCCTGATGAAGCTGAACGGCCATACTCACATTGATATACTGAAAGTATGCTCCGGACCCTGCTCGTGCAAAGTGCTCAGATCTGACACCGTCTCTGTAGATTGATATCGAGCGTTGGGAATTTGAGACGCTGACGGCGCTCCTCAAGCCATACCTCGCCTCTGGTCGCCCATTGCCGTTTGGGCAGCTTCAACTGGAAGTTCACATCTGGAACATGAATTTCGAGGAGTACTTGGCTTGGTGGGAGATGCTCGAGGCCGCTGGACTACGCCCGTTCTGGACAGAACCAAATCTTGTCTATCAAAACTACAATGTCGGAGGATCAACTGATTTGGCAGAGGTACGGTGTACTCTGATTCAAACACTAAATAGTCGCTCATATGTTGTTTTCCTTGTTTGGCAGTACTCATTCCTCAATATCAAGGGTTCAAATGCTTTCATCAAAGATGCAAGCTCGCACCATCACGACTAAATCCGCACGAGTCTCGCGGCAGATACTCTCCACATGAGAGGACGCTTGCAACTCATAATCATACGGCACTCGTCATTTGCGATGCCCCGGGATAATTCATGTACTTGTTTAGTGAGCGTAATTAATAGCGACGGGAGAGAGACAAGATTGTATCCCAGACGTTCAACGCTCAGCATCCTATGGTATCATCAGATATAGCAGGAGTGCGGCATGAAGCAATGAAATACACAATGAAATACAGTAGCATTTTTCCTTGGCGAACAAAACAAAAAGCCAATTAGTCAAAAGACTCCACTGCCCCCGTGAGGCTCGAACTCACGATCTCACGATTGAACAACCTAACAGTCGTGCGCCTTAACCAGCTGGGCCAGGGGGCAGTTATGTTTCATGCCTCCTATATTTACTCAACGTACAACGGTGCATCTGGTCCGATTAACAGCAGCTTTTTTAAATTTGTCCTCATCAAATAAGTATCTGAGGATAGTCGCTCGAAAAGAACAAATAGCAGCTAGAGCCTACACGAAAGGATTTGAGCGGAAGAAAGCGAGAAAGCGGGGGTTACTGTAAATGAGTAAAAACTGGACGTAAACTTTCTGCACGACTCGACTACCAGGATGATGAGTGAGTGAGTCGGACAAGAGTCGGATAAAAGAGCGTGGAAGAGCACCTCATTTAAATTATCATCGATGAGGGAGCGGGTGCCAGAGTCTGTCTTCGCGTGTCTCTCGGTTCTCTCAACGCTGGGTAGATGGAATTGAGATTGATAGCTCTTCTAGTTACAACATCAATTGCGAACCTGCCGCTCCAAGCTAATAAGAACCCGTTCTAGTAACTTTTCGACAAGCAAAAGACGATTATCCACTTTGAGCAGACGATCATCTACCTTGGCTTCTAACCTGCTCAGCCTTTGATTCATGTTTGATTCATGTTCGATAAATCGCTGCTCCAAGTCCGCCAGTCGACCTTCCAGAGTAACTTCGACTTCTTCCACGTACTCTTGAACTCGAACTAGGTCATGCGAGTGGGCCTGGTGATACCCGAAAGCGATTTTTTTCTGGGTGTCCGATTCACATTCGAAACAGATGAAGCTGGGCTCTAGAACAGGGATGAAACAAAGTTATATCGTAACAGATGACTTCTAACCTTCGCACTGTACACAGAACCAGCACGGTTGTGTGACAGGTCGAGTACAGGCAGCACACTTGGGCGTAGTCGGTATAGAGTGGGAATCCGGAGCGCTAACATCCATGTCCGTTTCGGGGGAAGGGAACAGCTGTCTAGCTTTTGCCAGAGCTCTTTTGGCATCACGATATGTTTTGCCAAATTGCCTTATATGGACAACTCGTCTCAATTTGAGCAGATTGTGCGCGGGCAAATGCGGCCGCTGGAGTCAGAGTAAGTTGGGGACATATACCACACGTAAATGATAGCGTACTGTCATTCCTGAGGGTATCACCTTGGTCGACATGCAAGAGGGAGTGTCACAAAAGTCGACCTACGGCAATGAACGAAAACTCTCGACGAAGCGAAATCACTGTACCGTGTCAAAACTGTCTTCGAGCCGGCATGTCAAGCAAGTGATTCTAGCGCCACCTATTAGCCCAGCACAACAGTCGCACCGCACGCTGCGAGAGCGACAACGTAAGTAACTTTACTGCGTAATCAATTTGACAGAATTCACTCGTGGCCAGTAGTGACTCTAATTCGACTTTCAGCAATCGAATGGAAAAACCTAGAATCTCTGGTTGTGAATGATCTGACCGGGTCATCGTAAGCACTAGATTAGAAGCAATAACAGTGCTCTTTGAGTACGCACTTTTGCAAAAGGCCGAGTTCCGTCTAGTGAATAATGAGATTGCATTGGACGGGAAGAGTGTGTGCGCACTTGTTCCTTGGCACTGAGCGGGCGACCATACCGCGTCTTCCGAATATAAAGTTCAATGAAACGTTTTTGATTCACCGCTCTTTGTTTGAAAAAAGCCCAGGACCAGTTGCTTTTGCGTATCGCAAAACGAACTGCGGATATGGCAAACGTCCACAGGGCCCGAATTCTGTCTCGTTTCAGTGCTGTCGGTGCGGGAAAGAAGCACATATATTCGGGTATTATACGTTTGAAAACGAAAACTCCGACATGACTCTGAGGATCGACTTGCGATCCCCATGTTCCAGTCAGCGATTGTTGAGATCTTGACCTTGACAAAATGGGAAGATATCAGCCAATGAATCACACTCACTACGATGGGGACCAACCATCGACCGGAAAAAAATTGTGGAGAGAACCGAGCCGGGAAAGTTCGCTTGAATGTGAATTTGACCGTTTCGGAGCTCTCTCCAGCACAATCTCCGGCGATGGTAAAATCGGACATATTCGATCGAGAAGATGCTTGAAACCGCCGGCTTCCGTTGGCCATAAGGTTCAATGAGATCATTCCCGATGACGGGACCGGGGACGACGGAGTAGAATACACGAAGCCATTCCATGCTCCCAAAATGGCTGGGGAAGGAATGTCATGAGAATAAACGAAAATTTAATGATAGGTCGTACCGCTGAGTGCAGAAGATGGCCGGCTGTTTGTGCTTGTCGGTAGACTCCGCTCTGGCTCATCGTTGTACGCCGCAAAGTCTAATTTCTCGAGTCCTAAAGGATAGTTTAACAATTTCTCCGTGTCGACGTCTTGAGCTTCCAATGCATCATCGTAAGGGTAATCGGGGAAGTCCTGAGCCAAAACTACTTTCGCATCCCACAAACCGCTCGGATCATGCAAATATTGAAACTATCGAAGCAGGATGAGACACGACTTTGTTAATCGAACCAAACTCACAAGTCCGTGTGAAAAAGTTTTGAACTCTTGTGTCATATCGACCTTGGGTCATTGCCATGAGTCGATTTGGTTTCCTGACGAGTACAAAAGACTAACCTTTTGCTGAGCAAATACGGAGCGCAGGAGATCAACGCGTTCCTGCGCAGATCTGAGCACCCAGCATATGGTATCGGCACTGTCCCACAATTCGTCAACGTGCACTACCTGTGGATCAAAACTGAGACACGATCTCTGGGATAATTGCGGGTCCTCGCCTTCCTTTGACAAATCCTGAAGATTTCGAAATCTCGCTTGAGGAGGAGAAATATCAGAGGGAGGAGGAACTAGAACATACTCTTCAGTCATGATAATGACTGTAATACATGGTAGAAATTACTCTTTCAATGCGGCCCGGTCCAGTGATGAGAGGTACGGTATCCAGAGCATCCAGGTCATAATCAACCGCTTCTAGATTGGCAAGTAGTCGAGCTTCTTCGGCCATAACATAGCTATTGAACTTCGCTTGAAGAGTTTCGTTCACAAAACAGGGTGCCAGAGCCGACTCTAGAGATGTCACGTCGCGGTAGATCGTGTCTAGATAAGTATTGACAGCCGCTCTGTTGGCGGGCAAAACGCGTGTTCTGAGTGCAAACATCTTTGCGATCAATTCTCGAATTTTCACAGCATACATCGACGAGGCTTGATGGAAACCTATGGCCCACATTGCGATCCAGTGAGGAAGACTGAAAACTGGGTCAGAAGAATATCTAAAAAATTTCTTTCAACTCACGACCAATCTAACGGTCTACTGGCGGTAAATGTATTAGCCTCCGCTACCGTGATGAACCCCGAAGCATCATCGTCGAATGCTTCAGATATAGACTGAAGGCGGGAAACGTTCAGATACTCCAGCGCCCAGTCGTCAGCGCCACGCTTCGCCGCCGCAGCATCCGAGTCCTCCGTGCCCTCCTGATAATAGTCGCGTAGAGCCATAACAAAATGCCGTGACTGGGGGCTTCCGTTGATACTCGTTGAGAGGAATGGAGAGAGCATATATGTACCTTCACGCTGCCACGCCAACCCTTTGAAAAGAATCAAGTCAAGGAAGTTCATGAACGCAAGTTAAGCATACCATTTCTTTCCATATTCTATGAACATCCTATCATACAGTAAGAGTTGCCCGCGATTAGATGAGTTGCGAACAATGAGATAGAACACCCACTGGGTCGATGATTTTGTCATGTGGGCCCGCCGTAACAGCACTGATAACCCGATCACCCTCGCGCTCAATCACTTTAGTTAACTCCTCCCTGTGGGGTAAATGAGTTTTTGAGAAATCGGCATACAAGAAGCCAGTACACAATCTGCCGCTTCTGCACTTCAAATTTGCGCGAAAAAGCCGTCTTATTTTGCGAAATCGCAACCTCGGGATCGATCAACAGGTCATCCTTGAGGTCATCCAATGCGGAGGTCTGAGGTGTGGACTTTCCCATTGAGCTAGCTCCGACCGAAGTCGTGGTTTTGCTTTCAAGACCACTCAGCTCCCTGAGCACTTCGTCATTCTCCTGGCAAGCTTGCAGACCACCTTTCTGTTCGACGATTCTGTAGAAAATTCAACAACAGTATCTAGATCGAACAGTTCATTTACCGCAATACCTCCTTCTGTTGGGGCGTGACAAAGGAAGCGAACATGTCAAGCAGCTTATCCATCTTTTGATTCATTTCTTGGGTTACTTTGTTGACAGCATCCACCCCCACAGCGGTGTGGACACTGAGGGCAAATTCGAACTCAGAGCGTCGCTTCGTGAACGTTCCTGCAAATTTGACCAATTTTCCTTCCCAAACAGGACCTTTAAGAACTTTGACAACCAATTTTTTCTTGGTGTAGGCATCACAAGCCTGTTACACCGTCAATGCTAATCAATGTGCAATACCAGGAAGAGACCGACATTGGCACCTGCAAGTCATGAGGCGAAAGTCAAAGAAATCAACGGAAACGCATACATGCTTTGATATCATCTGTTGCGATATTCACGATCTCCTGCAATCGACCTTTGATGGTGCTTCCGTCGGGTGCAACCTCATCCGCATCCTTCACATTCTTGAGTCTACAGAAAAGTTGACGGAATGAGTGAATAAAAAAGGAAAAGAACAAAAACCGTACTGTAGGAGAACGACCATCATATCTTTCATTTCCAGGTGTAGTGCGAGGATCCGTCGATCGTTTTCTCGTCGCTTCTGTTCGAGCGCCCAGACAGCCTTGAACGCCATGACAGCGACTAACATTCGACTGTTTACCAAGTACGTACACTGCAGAGAAACACCTACCGCCAATGAATCTAGAAAACCGATGAGTTCATTTACCGAGGCGAGTCGGATATACGCACGGATGCAGTTTGGCAACCTCGTCCAAAGCGTGTGTAAATGTGTTGATCCCTTGCTCGATGGCATCCATGCCACCAATGGCCGACAACCCTGTTGCGATTCCATGGATGACCACATCCGCTGGCCCCGTTTTGGTCGAGGCAACCGCTACGTTGGTTTCTGGGACCATGATTAACACACCATCTGAAAAA